TGAGGTTTTTTATGGGAATGTGGATCTTTCCTATGGTTTGCCAGTTCCACATTTTATTGCCAGTGAGTCATACAGTTTTGGGACTGGCACTGGTCTGGTCTTGTTCATGACTTGATCTCGGTTGAGGACGTGGTCTTGACTACAAAACTGACTGCTGCCAGTGTAATTGAATCGATTGTATTTGCATCTGTGCCAGCGTGTGTTTGCGAGTTTGAGATTTTTGAAAAGCAGTTGGAGCAAGATTAAATCTGTTCATAGCCAGCCTACATGATGTATTTAAATGTATACTTTTATTAATTACTCACAAGTAGTGCAGCTTGAATGGGCCCATGAATAATATAAAGCAGGTATGTTTGAGAGCTGATCCAGCACCTGAAACAAACACAAACAGCGAGACAAACTGAAATTTCGGACACCAATCCAGTGAGATTTTATATGTACGCCGACATAAATAAGCCTGAGGGCCTAAATCAAAGCTTGAATCGTTCATCATTAGTGGTAGACTCTCAAATAAGAGGGCTCATGCAAATACCACTTGATGAGACAAATCAATATGTTACAAATCCTCTCAAGCGGAGCAGAAGAAGGTCACGGGAAGGAGAGAGAGAGAGAGAGAGAGAGAGAGAGAGAGAGAGAGAACACCAAGCTTAGTTAGGTTACAGTAGACTGCATACTGCAACATTCATGGCCTTGATCTGGACTTGGGCTTCGCGGCTGTGACAACAGAAGAACAAAAGTGCTACATCTTACTTGTCGTCATAGAAGAACCCGCGAGCCACGGCATACGTGATGGCAGGAACAAAGGGAAAACCTTGGGACAGAGAGAAACACGGACAGAAATATTAGACCGACGTCCTGAATCTCTAGGTCTGCGGCTGCATCACAACCTTAATCAACACCTATAGAATATAAGTTATTAGTTTAGTTTCGTATAAAGAAAACCATTGTTATTCATATGCTTTTATTTTGGTGGTATTTTTTTGACCAGCTTCAAAGAAATAGTTCGACATTTTGGGAAATATTCGTACGCACTTTCTTGCCGGGAGTTAGAAGAGAAGATCGGCCTGTTCAGTATGAAGCTGGAACCACGAGACGGTTAGCTTAGCTTAGCATAAAGACACGGGAAAACAGCTAGCCTGGCTGTGTTAGAAAGTAACAAAACAGCACCTGTAAAACGCACGAATGAACATGTTCCATGTCATTTTTTAAGTCCATACAGAAACCCAAGTCTAAATACAACAATTTGTGGTTTCACAGGAGGTTATCCACTCTTGTTTTTACACAAAAGTTTTTTGTGCAAAATTATAACCTCTTAAGTGTTAAGTGAAACTAACCGGCTGCCGGCTGTAGCTTCAAATTGGTTGCACAGAAATGACGTCTGGTCTTCTCATGTAACGCAAGAGGCAAATACGCATTTTCTCCCCAAGTGTTTATTAACTGTTTCTTTAAGTTTGCAACTTCAAGCAACTTCCTCAACTCAAGTTGCTATATACATATTAAGTCCAAGGGCCATGTGAGTAGAATTTTGCGGCATCTAGCGGTGAAGTTGCAGAATGTGACCAACTGAAAGTTTTACCGTGTGCCAAGTGTGTAGGAGAAGTACGGTAGCAACACGAAAAACGTGAATTGCCCTCTCAAAGGCCAGTGTTTGGTTTGTCCGTTCTGGGCTACTGTAGAAACATGCTCCCTATGTAGACATAAACGGCTCATCCTAAGCTAACGAAACACAACACATCTTATTTTCAGGTGATTATACACTAAAGAAAACATACTTATTAATATTCCATTTCCCGCTAAATGACACTGGCCCTAGAAAGAAAGCTGAAGTCAGAAAGCTTTCAGCTCCTGCACCGACAACAGCGAGTTCAAAGTAAAGGTGACGCGGAGGACATGCTCGTTACAGGCACCCTATACCGTACGGATATAAACTCTGAGAGACATAAAATAATCCATTACTAACACATAAGAGCTGGATGCCTGCATGAGAGCTGAAATAAAAAGCCCACTTATCTAAGCGCAGGCACATCCAGCCTTCAAGGTTACATTTAGGTATTGAATTATGCTGTAAATATGATGTTTTTTAAGTGCAACAGAAGAATTCACAACTAATTTCAGAGCCGCAAATTGCAGAAGCTCTCATTATATTCAGGTGAGTAAATGCATGTTTTGGCACTTGAATTTGGAGGAGTTAACAGTACTGTTAACCTTGAAACTGTCGGTAGCAGTAACTCTTCAGTTGAAGTTGCTCCTAAGGTACAATGAGGTAGCATAATTAGCATCTTGCTAGTGAATGATAGCCATAATCGCCCACAAATTGCAACTGTAATGTATTGCATTCATGCAATTCCTTCATATTTGTCTTGCAATCTGCTGGCAGCACATCCTCATGCAGTGTGATGCTTAAATGCTGTCTCTGTAGACCTTGAATCTTCCAGGTCCTCCGCCCCCAATGTAAATGTATACAGTGCAGTTGTTGTTTCATATGCATACGACCAGAAGATGGAAGCACTGAAACTCAAAAGGAAATAGTTGGGGAAACTCACCCCATCCCAGGACGTAGTACCAGAAGAGCTGCTGTTCCCCGACAAAGACGGCCACGATGATGAGCGTGTGGAGGTAGATGCCCTCACACAGCATCCAGAAGTAGTTGGAGGTGGACGTGTACATATTAAGCACAGCTAGGACCTTACAGCTCACCTGACAGGGACAGGAAAGCCAGCCCACAGTTTTGAGTGACGCACTAAAATTTTGGACTAGAATGCCTAATGAGCACGCCGTTAAGTTAAGAGTGGGACTTTTTATTTTTTATTTTTTTTAATGGGGGGAAATTAGGCAAGCGAACTGAAATCCATTGGTGTTATGGTGAAAGAGACATTAGGGGACTCACAGGGTTGCTGGCGTTTAGGGCTTGGGTGTTGGCCACAGTGAGCGAGAGCCACACTATCGTAACGATGGAGTTCAAGATGAAGGAGAGAAACATGTTCTTGTGGAGGGAGATTCTCTGGCAGCTGAGACTCCTGAAAGAGAGACACAGACGGAGAAAGTGTACTCGCCTTTAGATTTTTAAAGGCTCTTACAAACATTGTTGGACTGAAATTCTGTTATTATAAGCATTTTCTTGCCAAACTATCCCCACAATTTAAATTATTTACTTTCTCTCCACCGTTACATTCGTTAGATTGACACTAAACCAGTTCGTTAGATTGACGTACCAGTTCACCTATTTTGTCTCCTTTTATTGGTCTACATACAAGCAGCTCATAGCGGTTTCTAAGCCATCACACACAAACCTGGACACTGAAATAGGAAAAGTAAAATCAAGAGAGGTATTTGACGACTGTCGAGGTGTTGAGAGTCAGACGTGACACGAGGAAAGTCCTGACTCACTTGAAGTAGGAGAAGATGATCAGACAGATGACCAGGGAGACGATAGACAGGCCGTGACCCACCATGGCCATGTAGTAGAGACTGATGGCAAACTGCAGGGAGGAAAAGTGGTTTATTAGTGATATAAATTCACTTATTAAGAATGGCTTTATTCTAAATTTGATAAGTGAACTAGCATAGTAAATAGTTTGTTTTGTTCTCAATAGCACAGAGACATAACTCTGCATGTCAGATGTTGAGTTTGTTTTCTAAGGATGTGAAGTGGGGAGAGGAAATGGCGTATCAGGGCAGGTGAGGAGCTTTGATCCTACAGAGATTTTTGACAGTTTGGAGATCGTCAAACTGCCTCCAGTTCAGAACACACAAGTCAGCAAAGTCGAGACTGCAGTTCGCCCTCGGTTCACGCTGTTGTGCTCAGCTGTCCAAGCGGGAAATAACTTCTGACTATCAGATGTCAATGTCTGTCATAAACCCGTCTGGTGTTGTTTCCTGTAGTGTGTTCAGATTACATTTACAACACCATGCAAAAAGAAAATAGGTGCAATGTTGCACTCTGTAGGGTTTTAGGGCAAGTCAAACAATGTTGTCAAAGTAGTCCAGGAACATTAAGCAAATTGTGCTGCACCTAAAACTTCAAGATAAAAAAATACAGCTTTTCAATATCACCACTGTTGTATACTCTCTAAATATTATAGGTTACATTTTTGAAAATTCAATTGTGCACTCAAATCTTGGCTTAATCTTTAAGATAATTCACAATTGTGAATGTCTTTGTGCACTTTTATTTTAGTTTAGTATTTTGAACTCTTTTAATGTATAATTTCCTTTTTGATGTCTCACTTTTTCTTACTATTTTAATATTCTACCTCCCTGCAGGGAAATGTTATTTGTGCATTGTCCCTGTTACAAATAAATATGCTTGAACACATTATTTAAAGGCACATGGTTATGTGCATCAGTCCACTTTGAAAGAGGGCTGCAAACCTGGTTTTTTGGTGACATTCACCTAATTTGGTCAAAAGTTTAGAACTTTTCCAGACACCGGTAAACCTCTGCTGATCCTCCCATACACATGGTGTTTTACCTTGAGTTTGTCTTTAGTGTAGGCCTGACACTGGGTGTAGTTAGTCCAGACTCTGTTGCTCTCTGGATGGTGGAACCACTGTCCACCAGGATTACACACTTTGGTCACCTTCTCTGTTGAAACATTATAATTTACACAAACGGTAACATTGTTTATGGTTTGATTGAGGTGCCAAACAGACAAAAAGCTGACGTTTTCATGAGAGACCGTCAATTATTTTTGCAAATAAACAGAAAGCAAAAAAACAAAAAATGTACATGACAAGTTGTCAAGACACTTTACGTTTACACAGTGGACGACCATGAATTAAAGCAAACCTCGGAAAGTAAAAGTATATCATATAAGACACACAAAATGAACAGCTGTGCTTGCATACATGCGTGTGCCTTAACGCCTCACCAGCAGCGTCAAAGTCGAAAAAATATTCCGGACACATCTGCATGACAGTCCCTGGAGCTGTGTCCCCCCAGCACAGCCAGCCGTCCCACGTACGGTTACAGAAATGACCTGCAGAGGACATGACATTCGAACTGGCAGAGCTTACGGACAGCAGACATTAAGCATGCATGTGTATGCATTAGCTTTTCAAATGAGTCCTAAATACAACACCGCATGCTGGATAACATTGAGATGAGAGAGAGCGCTGTGTAACCTTCTCCCACTTCTAGTTTCAAAGTGATGTATGCACAAGTGAGGCACCTAATGTTTCCAAAAGACCGCCTTAGCTCCAAATACTGTGTTTATTGAACAGTGTCTCCATCCCTGCCGCTAAATGCCGATCCCATAAATTGCATTATACGTTGTATGTTATAAAAAGTACACAAAACAGTCATGAAAAACAGATATAAATACTGTACAAATATACAATATGCAGTAACCCCACTTCCATCCCACAGGGAGAGCCTTTCCAAACATCCACGCTCTAGCATATGCTGACATACACACACACACACGCGCACACACTAACATAGAGGCTACATCAACTTTAACGTTACGCTACTGAGCAGCTGACATCTGATCACGCGCTGCAACCTATCAGGGTCTGGGTTGTGCCTGTTAACGAACCAGGCCAAAGAACAGGATGCTCTGTATAGGACAGCCTTGTAAAACAGTAAGTTAACGGTAATAGATATAAAGATCCACATTGAAACTGTACAGTAAGAACATTGGAAGAACATTCGCTGTTTTTGACCATCCCACATTCATATTCTTTTTACTATTCAACTTTTTCTCTGCTCTTTTATTATAAACAAGGACTCAAACATATTCATCCAGACTGAATTTCAGCTTGTCTTAGTAAACCTTTAAGAATGCTAAAGTACCAAAGATTTAACTACAGTATTTCAGAAATAATTACCACTTAACATATTAACTACAACAGCTGTGTAATGAGTCTGTGCTGTCAGCTCGCCCGCACAAAGCTGGCCAACAATCGACGGAAACCTGACGGTACCAGGTTGTACTGTGGCATGCTGGGAAAGGGATCACAAAATAGCATTTCAAAGGCAGTGAAGTACTGAGCGGGAGCAACAGGCGCTGGGAAAGAAACAAAGGGCAAGTTTCCTTTCTTTCAGACTCACTTCCTCTCTCTCTTCTCTCTCTCTATCTTAGTGTGTGTACACATTCTAAACTACTAATAGGTAGGACAGCCAGTAATGCATTTATCTAAATCTCCTCTTTGTTAGTAAATGTACCGAAGGTACTATTTTAAATAAATGTGTGTGAACGTATTTTGAAATGAAGCAATTACAATTCATCTTGAAATTGAAACTGAAATTTTGAAATTGAAATTGAATTGGCTTCATGTACATTAGGTACATATATATGAAATGTAACTTCTGCATTTAACCCATCCCTAGCTCATTGGGAGCAGTGGGCTGCTGAGAAGCGCCCGGGGAGCGTTTAGGGGTTTAGTGTCTTGCTCAGGGACACTTCGGCACAGGACTCGTAGAACCGCCGACCTTGCCGGACAACCCTCTCTACTAAATGAGCCACGGCCGCCCCGTGGCTCTTGAGGGGGACATCGCTGTACCACATTTCATGGCAATCCACCAATAGAATTAAAGTCAGGTGATCACCAAAGTCAGTAGGATTCATCCTCTGGGGACCATGAATGTCTGTCTAAAATTAAAAAGGCAATCCATCCTATAGTTATTGAGATATTTTAGTCTGGAACCCATGGGATTAATGGCAAGGCAATCTAAGCACAATGAAAACGGAGTAGTTTTAAAATATATCGTCTTTAAATGTTTTACTGATATACTTCACTTGTACTGATATAAGTGATTCAATTTGCAGAGAGAGTGATTTCATTAAAAGTGCTTCAGCAAATCAGGTGCAAAATGTTGTCATTAACAATTACCTGCCATTCGGCAGAAATAAAATGTGATACCAGGACAGCTGTTGAAGAACATTGAGGCAGTCTTCTCACCTTCGTCTGTACGCGGTGGATCGTGGATGATCTTCAGGTAGCACTGGAACTGAGCGGCCAGGATCTCAGGTCGGGACTTTGTTAGTCCGGATATGTTGCTGAAGTTCTCCTGCTGCTCGTCAACCGCCTTCTCCAGAGTCGCCATGGACCCCACATCCTCACACTGGGACACCTGGGTAAAAAAAAAAAGTCATCTTTTCCTCCTGACGTAATGTGATTATTGCAAGTTATTGTAAGTTGTGATGGGAAAATGAAAAGAAAGAAAAAGGTTGACTGAGGAACAGAGCAAGTGGGTTTTTAGGAGCACATGTAACCGATAAACACTTAGATATATTGGGTGAAAATGCCTGGCTAAAATGTAACGTACTGGTGGGAAGGTACAGGAAAGAAATGATACTGTGTGTAAAAACCCGCATGGTGTACACATTTATTGTGTCAAAAGCATCTACATGTACGCAGACACGCACACATGATTGCACTCACCTCTGTGCACAACGCCAGTGCAACTATCAGTGAGAGTGTCAGAGTCTTCCACATGTTTCTAAAAGATGAAACGAGAACAAGGACAAGGCAATTATTAGACATTTTTTCACACCAGAAGCCGCTATCTGTTCCAGAACTGTGGTTCTTCAAGTATATGCAGCATAACACAAACAAGGTACAACTTCTGCACAGCTGAGCTTTGAGCTAAGTGCTAATGTCAGTATGCTAACACAACAACAGTAAAAACATGCTGAGTCTTAATCTTAGTTTAGGGTATGTATTATAATTACACAAAACTCCGTAAACCTAATTGTAGCTTTTTTGACTGAGAGTCCCTGAAATGAAAAACAAAACAAAAGGCCTGTTGTGATTTAAATTCAAATGGTTTGTGTGAGCTTGTGGTCTCACAAGTGTGCGTATGTATGTTCGTTCACGATGTGTGTCTTTTCTCATCTATCAAGACAGGAAGTTCATGCTCGCCACTCAGGGTCAGAGAAAACAGATGTGTGTTTGTTATTATTTCGAGGTGAAAAGGGCAGCAAGTTCCCCTTAGCGTGTCCTCTCTAATGAGCCAAACAAGGGTGAGATGAGTACTAGGCATAAGAAGTCATAAGAGAGAGAGGTGACAGAGGCAGTCTCTGAAAAACAACACATGATACATAAAGTGTCTCTTTGGTGAGGAAACATGATGGGCTTTATCTATCTACGAGGGAGGAAACTACACCTCAAGGCCAGCATGACACCACATAATAACTTCAGCTGTGTCCTTTCATTTAGTTGTAAATGCAATAAAATGCTGGAGTGCAGAATTGTGCCGCATGTGCCGCCTTTGGTGTTGAAGACAAAGGAGCCAATCAGCGTCACGCTTATTAAAACCCGGCCTTCTCTCGAGCACTACTCTGAAAAGGTGAATTTGTAAATACGTGAACTACTGTCATCCCCGTGCATTTCTTTCCCCCATGATATCATATTTCTGCTATGCAGATGACATGTTCAATATTCAAGCCAAACAAAAATCTTCATAGTTTTTTAAGAGCAGAAGTTTAGTTTTTAAAGAGAACCGTAAAATCTATTTAAAGATACCAAACATATCAAGTGAATTACAGACAAATGTATCAAATGACGCACATTGAGAATTGTCACACAATAAAAATCATTCATGGGTTTGAATATTTAAGTGGTTTGATATTGTCAAACTTGCAGGTCAAAATGTTTTAGCGCAATAACAGTGACAGACATGTAAATGGAATATTGGAAACATAACGGTTCAAGAGAAAAAGCGCCAGTTTGAATGTTATAAGCAGTAACAGAAATTCATGCCAAAAAGCTCCTCTTTCAGGGTACAGTAACAAAAACATTTTGACAGTTGAGAGCACGGGAAAGAGACGGAGAAAGAAAGTAGAGAGAAACTTCTCTGCGTCAGAAGTGTGAGGGTTTCGGGAACCAGTGCTCTGAATAGTACAAAAATAATCATCCAATCTTTATTTGGATTTTCCTTTTTTTTTTCCATCTACTTGCTTACATAGCGCAAGAGATGCGTGTCTGAGGGGAAGAAAAAAAAAGACATAGCCCAGATTCAACTGAAGCATCTTAATAAATTATGTTCAAAGGAGCATTCAAAGCAGAATTCATTACATTCTCAGTGATTTTGTGCAATGACTCGTATCCAGAGGGAGTGATGTGCAAAGGTTGTACAGAAGTAAGCTGTTTTGAGTCAACCCAAGACACAAAGGTAATCATTAAAACATCTGCAGTACGTAAGTTCTCAGCGTTCAAGCATTTTAAATGTATAACCTCTCAGTAACTGTCGGACTCATGTTTTGATACTGTAAAAGGAACAGGATGTTGCACAAATTACAGAGAAAATAGGTCCCTCCACAAAACACAATCTAATATTGCATGCTTTCTAATGGCCGGCAGGGGGCGACTCCTCTGGTTGTATAGAAGTCTATGGGAAAATGACTCTACTTCTCTCTTGATTTATTACCTCAGTAAACATTGTAAACATGAGTTTATGGTCCCAATCTCTAGTTTCAAGTTTTCTTCAATACAGCATGATGTTCATTTCGTCAATTATGGTCTCATTTAAAATAAAATAGATAATAAAACAGGTTATGCTTTGAGTTGTGGCTACCTTGTGATTAACAGGCCACCATCACGGCGTTGTCCGGTCTGGGAGTTGTCTGTGTTTTCATCTTACAACTGTTACCCTTTCAGTTCATGGAAGTTAATAGTAATATCTTGGTTTTCCTAAAAATGTTGTGTGTACTCAGTGTTCGGTTGTACTTAGCTCAACCCTCTCCTGGCACTTCTGATAGCAAAAAAATTAAGATTGTGTCGGCCAAAAACTAATATGGCGACGCCCAAAATGCCGGCTTAATAACCACAGTCTACAAACCAATGAGTCACCTCACGTCCCCTTCTTATATACAAATAATTATTTGTCATACTTTTTGAACAGTTTAGATAAATTAGCCAATTATATCATTACCAGCCAAGTACTGCTTTTTGAGAAGTATTTCATTTCTGTACCAGAGGCTGTAGCTCCTGATGTGCTTAGCTTAAAGTTAGCTTAGCAGGTGCTGTTTGGTGCGTATTTGTTATCTTTGGACTGAGCCAGAACAGATGTTTCCTCCTATTTCCAGTCTTTGTGTGCAAAGCTAAGCTAACTAGCTGCTGGCTGAAGCTTCATATTTAAAGGTCAGACATGAGAGTGGTATCACATCTAACTCTCTAGCAAAAGAAAAAGCGAATAAGCGTATTTCCCAAAATGCCAAACTGTTCCTTTAACACTGCTTGGTGCTGCTGCTTCCTGCACCAACCCTAAAAAAGGTTTTGGTATTGTTGACTCTGCTAAGATCTAATGTTCGTGTTTGTACCGCATAGCTATCTCTGATTTCTGTAACAGTTTTAGTGTTTAGTTTAGATTCCTCGAGAGCACAGCCTTCTCCGCCAAGTCTCACGTAACCATTTATTTATGTTGTATAAACTCTGTACATGACAGAAGTAATAAAGAGACCCGTCAAGTTGTTGTTACTCTTCTTGGTAGATGTGAAACATTACTTAATGCCCCTTGGCATGAGAAAACCTTTATTACAAGGAGTGTCACGAGTAGACATTACAGATTTCACCTCTGTGTGTCTCCTGCTTTCTCTCTGTCTCTCACACACACAAAGCAAACAATGCTCTATACCTATACCTCCTAAACCACTTACAGGGCAGTTTGTAATGTCTGTCATCTGAACTCTCAGTGACAACAATGCACACCAGCACCTAAATCATTCTCTTTAAATTGTTTCCTTCTAATAAAAGACAACACATCCAAAGTGATTTCACAGTAATATTGGGAAATGACCTCGGCCGCTTAACAACAGTGGTGGTGCATAATGCGTAAACTGACGCGCTGCCACCGTGGTAAACAATTTTAAGTTTAAGGACTACTTGGTTGGGTTAAGGAAAGAAACTACTTACTACGTACTTCATACGTAGGCTACGCAATTTAAAAATGTAACACTTTTAGTTGGACAAAGACACCAGTTTCCTGGCTGACAGACCTGTATTCTCTGTAATTTGTAAATATCCCACGAAATGTTTTCGGATGTTATCCACGTAATCTTGAACGAGGAAGTATAAAGACCGCTAAAACACATAACGGGCTCGAGGGGAGGTGAATGGGTCCAACAAACAGCAATCGTTCAGCCAACGTTGATGTTTTTGTCTCGTAACTTGCGTACTTCAGCAAACTACGTCTATTCCTAAACCTAACCAAGTGGTTTTGTTGCCTAAACCTAACTGAGTTTCCTGTGAAGATGGAACTTTGAAAATACCAGTTGCATGTAGCAAGCAGAATTTGACACACGTTGATGGCTTTCGTAGGAAAGCGCAAAAAAAAAGTAAGGAGTCACTTTCCGTAGGATATCATATGACCCGTTGTATGAGGATACGTTGTCTGTCGGACCTCGGAATTTGTAATTTGAAAATGTGACAGCACGCAGAAATATCAAAAAGTATCAAGACCTTTGCTAATGCAGTAACACCTAAAGTAAGAGATGTCATTTTCCTACAAATCTGCCCCCATCTTTGGTGCTGAACACCTACAAAACTGTCAAGGTTGGAGAGCAGGCAACGGGGGATGGACCCAAACGCAGACAAAGGCCAGGAGGAGGCAGCAGAAACAGACAGGAAACAGCAAGCAAGTACACGGGCAAGTACAGGTCCAAAACTCCAAACATAACTGAAGACAAACCGAGGAAGAACGGAGGAGACAGGCTGTATGAATAGGGACTGAGTACTGGTGGGAAAAGGTGAGCAGGAGCACGGGTGACTACAGGGCTGAGGAGAGACAGGTGAAACTAATGAGAGCGAGGCAGACAATCAAAAGGGCGGGAAAACAAACAAAGGAAGGAAGTAAAACAAGAGGAGCTAACTTCAGAATAAAAGCGGGAAAGTAAAAAATAAAAATAAGAAGATGCATGACGGTCCAGGCTAAACTTAAAAAGTCAGAGGACATGAGCCGGACTGTGACGAAAACAGAGATTCATTTTGAATTAAAACACCCTTCAATAACAACTGAACAACGAATGCCCTTCTATCTGTTATGTACAAAGTTGCCTCTGGCGATGTATTGTTCCCCATCCGGACTTCTAAGTGAACTGTAAATCCAAGGACACACACACACACACACACACACACACACACACACACACTCACACACACTGAAATACCTTGGCAGTACTCGCTGTGTGCCATTGGAACCAACGAACACAGCGCAAATTATATCATGTGAACAGCAGCCAAGTAGTTTGGTTCGTTTTTTGTTTTCTGGGAACAATACAAGCTGAAAGGTCAGATACAGAGGAAATACTTAGTAATAAAACAACGACCACTCTGACAATATAAGCTGAGGAAGGTGCAGAGATGCAAAAATCACAGGGAAATGGAAACATGTCTTGCAAAAGGTTTGAACTAGGTTCATATTTGAACAAATAAAGATTTGTGTCTAAACTTATTTTCATTGTCTGGATAAACAACACATTCTTCCCCATAGGGGGACATGCG